GCCTGTGGCTAAAGCGGCTAAGGCGCCAGCCACATACACCTAAGGTGGCGGGTTCGAATCCCCAGCCCAGCCCGGGCCCGCCAAACAACAATGATGGCTGCAACTAAAAAATGGCCGGGCGTTATGGCGGGCGCCTATAGTCCCAGCTACTTGGGAGGCTGAGGCAGGAGACTCGCTTGAGCCCAGGAGTTGGAGGTTGCTGTGAGCGTGATGCCATGGCACTCTACCCAGGGGGACAGCTTGAGGCTCCGTCTCAAAAAAAAAAAAGAGACTGAGGTTTTTTGTTTTTTGTTTTTTGTTTTTTTTTGAGACCAAGTCTTGCTCTGTCTCCAGGGCTAGAGCGCAGTGGCATCATCATAGCTCATTGCAACCTCAAACTCCTGGGCTCCATCAATCCTCCTGCCTCAGCCTCCCAAGTAACTGGGAATGTAGGCATGCATCACCATACCACGCTGATTTTTGGTAGAGATAAGGGTTTTGATCTTGCTCAGGCTGTCTGGAACTCCTGGCCTCAAGGGATCCTACCATCTTGGACCACCAAAGTGCTAGGATTACAGATATGAGCCACTGTGCTCGGCCTGAGTTCTTTTATTTATTTATTTATTTTTAAGAGGCAGAGTTTCATTTTATCACCCTGGGTAGAGTGCTGTGGCGTCATAGCTCACAGCAACCTCCAACTCCTGAGCTTAGTTGATTCTCTTGCCTCAGCCTTCCAAGTAGCTGGGACTACAGGCACAGGCCACAACACCTGGCTATTTTTTGTTGCAGTTTGGGCGGGGCCAGGTTTGAACCCACCACCCTTGGTATATGGGGCTGGTGCCCTACCCACTGAGCCACAAGGTGCCACCCCTTGGGCCTGAGTTTTTAACTAATACACTTTAACCTATGGTTTGAATGTGTTGGAAACTTGATTCCCCAATGCTACAGCATTGGGAGGTAGGCCCTAATGAGAGATGATTAGATTCTGAGGGCTCTGCCCTCATGAATGGATTAATGCTGTTATCTGGGGAATAGGTTTCTCACAAAACAATGAGGCTGGCTTCCTCTTGCTCTCTTTGCTCTTCTGATATGGAATGAGAGAAGTCCCTCGCCAGATGCCAGCCCCTAATCTCAGACCCACCCTCCAGAATCAGAACCAATAAATTTCTGTTCTTTATGTGAACGTTATTAGAATCAAATACAGTCACTTATGTTAAAATACAAAAAGCTAATAAATTGAGCAAAAAAAAAAAAAAGGTCACGAAGGGAGAGTCCTTACACATAAATGCCTAATTTAAAGAAAAATCTATCAGAAAAAAGACTGCAAAAAATATGACATGGCACAAAGGCCATCTCAACCTTTCACTTACAAAAATACTTCTGCAAGAACATCTGCCCAGCAACTGCCACCAGTCTCAGATTGGTGTCACTCCCATTATCGATCCTTTTACTCAAGGATGATTACCTCAAAACAATTATGTAATCCTTCTCATTTTTCCTTTAAAATCTGTATCTTCCATTACCGTCCATAGTTTACTTGGTATGTGTATTCCTGTTCCCATTGCAATATTCCTGAATAAATATCATTATAAATTATAAATTGCCCTCTCTGTGGCATTCTCTTAAAGCAGCTCAAAACTAAGACAAAAAAGAGACACACAAAGAGAAACAAAACTAAAACACTTTCCCACAGTTTAGAGGATTATTCATTTTCAACACACACAGATATTCAAGAACTGACATAAGGGAGCCACAGGGAATGACTAGATAGAGAAGGAGATGTTTTTTACAACAAAGACTATTCATACTGGGAGGTGCCTGTGGCTCAGTGGGTAGAGCGCAGGCCCCATATACCAAGAATGGCCGGTTGGAACCTGGCCCCGGCCAAACTGCAACAACAAAAAATAGCTGGGCATTGTGGCAGGTGCCTGTAGTCCCAGCTACTCGGGAGGCTGAGGCAAGAGAATTGCCTAAGCCCAGGAGTTGGAGGTTGCTGTGAGCTGTGATGCAAAGGCACTCTACTAAGGGCAATAAAGTAAGATGCTGTCTCTAAAAATAAATAAATGAAATAAAAAAAAACTATTAGTTCCAAAGCAAAATAACTAAAAGAACAACTTAATTAAAAATGAGAGGATGGGGAGGGGCCTGTGGCTCAGTGAGTAGGATGTCAGCCCCATATACCAAAGGTGGTGGGTTCAAACCAGGCCCCAGCCACACTACAACAAAAAAATAGCCAAGCGTTGTGGCAGGCGCCTGTAGTCCCAGCTACTCGGGAGGCTGAGGAAAGAGAATTGCCTAAGCCCAAGAGCTGGAGGTAGCTGTGAGCTGTGACACCACGGCACACTACCATGGGTGATAAAGGGAGACTCTGTCTCAAAAAAAAAAAAAATGAGAGGATGAGATGGGTGGAGGGGGGGTAATTGTTGGGACCAAACCTAGGGTGCATCTTAGGAGAGTACATGTGAAATTTACTAAGTGTAGAATATAAATTCTTAAGACAATAACTAAGAAAATGTGGTGAAGACTATGTTAACCAGTTTGATGAAATCTCAAATTGTATATAAAATAAGCACATTGTACCCCATGATTACATTAATGTACACAGCTATGATTTAATAAAAAATAAAAAAAATAAGAGGATGAGACTGGGTGTGGTGGTGCACACCTGTAATCCAAGCACTCTGGGAGGCCGAGGTGGGTGGATTGCCTGAGCTCAGGAGTTCAAGACCAGCCTGAGCAAAAGCAAAATCCCATCTCTAAAAAATATCTGGGTGCTGTGTCAGGTGCCTATAGTCTCAGCTGCCAGGGAGGCTGAGGCAAGAGAATCACTTAGAGCCCTAGAGTTTGAGGTTGCTGTGAGCTATGATACTATGGTACTCTACTGAGGGTGACAAAATGAGACTCTATCTTCAAAAAAAAAGACAGAGGATGGTCTCTAATAATTGTGTTTGAGAGAAGAAATTTGTGCTACATCTGAAATAATGTGTTTCTAGTAGTTTAGTCATGATAGTTTTATTGAAGCTGTCTAGTTGGGTGAAAAACTTACTGCACTGTGAATCAGAACTGGATTCTAGCTGTTCTTGCCACCAACTAGCTAAGTGAACTTGATGAAGCCACTAACTGTGTAGGCCCTGGTTTCTAGGAAATTGTATTAATGCTTCTGGAGAAAGCTTTGTAATTAGAAAAAGGATAAATGCTTTCTTGGACGAATGAACATTAGCATCAAGAATTTATTGCACACATTCTTATTTGAAAAGCACAAGGTAAAAGTGAAAACTGAAGGAGATAATATTCACTTCTTTTATTAAGTTTAAATTATGTAGGTATTGAGGACTGAAAAACAATACTCCTAAAATTACACAGCAAAGCTCAAAAAAAATCATCAATAATAAGAAGCAAACCTACATGGGTCATCATCTTTTTGTATCTAGGTAAGCTGAGATATCTAGAAATTTTAACGGCTTTTATAAATTGCTCTATTCCTCTAGAGATATCTTTAAATGAGGTTAGCTTTTGGTTCAAGTCAATTTAATTCAGGCATCATTATAGAATACCCTCAGAGATTATTTCCCCTGAACCAAGAAAACCTAAGCTTCATGCTCCTGATTGGTCTGGCCACTGTGAGTACTGGGAACTGATGAGCATTTGATGTTCTTGGTGGGAAGGAGAAACCAGGTCACAAACAAATTCTGTGTAGCATTACTGGTAAATTCCCTAAAAGAGTTCACAGAAGGAAGGGACCTGGATTTTCATAGCTCTAATAACTTGCTGTGGTTCTTTTTGCATTCTTAATACAGTACATTATATCCAAGCAAATACCCCAATTATATGAGCTACATTCAAATACCAGAATTTGCTATGTCTACTATATATTATACCCTAAATTAATGGCAATACAAAGGATCTCACTGTTTTGTGAGCAGAAGAGTATAGAATTAGGTATAAAACAGAACTGAGTGGTAGTCCAATGATAGAAAAAAGTATAATAGGAGCACACACAATAATACAATAACACTAATTTATTGCAGTACCCTTATCTTCTGGATGATGCCCAGCTGACAAAAACAAAACAAAACAGAAAAACCCTGGGAGAGTTGGAGATCTGAAATCTCTGTCAAGTAGCTCATGGCCTGGAGTTTCTTAAGTTTATGCCTTTCAAACATTTTTGATTGTTGATAAATAAATGTTTACAATAAATGCATTACTACAATGATAATGAAATGGAAAATACAAAGACATTTCATCTTGTACAATTCAACTATTGTATTTTTGCAGTATGCTTTTGCTACATATATGTGCAAACGTGCATGTATGTAAACACGTACGTACGCGTGAGTGCATACACGTTTTTCGATGTTCAGCAAAACTAGTGGTTCTGTGGCATTAAAAGCAAAGATTGTAGCTTTAAAAGTTTGCGCGTTGGCTAGGCGCCTGTGGCTCAAGCGGCTAAGACGCCAGCTACATACACCTAAGGTGGCGGGTTCGAATCCAGCCCGGACCCGCCAAAC